AAACTGAATTTTTGTGAACCAGTATAAATGATTTGCAACTGTTTATAGACATCAAAAGAAAGGTAAATCGATTACCTTTCTTTTGATTATAAAATTGTTAAAATCGCTTAAGTTTTTTATAGAAATTTTGCAACTTTTGAAAACGTCTATATATAAGTCGGAAAAACGCAATCAAACTTTGCAAAGTTGTAATGAAACTGAATTTTTTTGAACCAGTATAAATGATTTGCAACTGTTAATATACATCAAAAGAAAGGTAAATCGATTGCCCTTCTTTTGATTATAACATTGTTAAAATCGCTTAACTTTTTTATAGAATTTTTGCAACTTTTGAAAACAGCTATATGCAAACGAGTAGTAGTAATAATAAGCAATTAAGCAACCACATATGTATGTAAAAATATCTTTATTATTAATGTTAATTGTAATTTTTATTCATAATATTGATTACTAACTATTTATTTTAGGTTAACAATGTATTTTGAAAAATAAATTTTGCAAAATAAAAATCAAAAAAAGGTTATTTTGAATTGAATTATAAAAATTATTTGGGTAATTCTCTAGTGGAGGGTAACAACCCGGAAAAGTCGGAAGGGTACCAAACGACGCGTTTCGGTCAGCCTATTAACAATCCGGAGGGGGAAGGCTAATATTATTAACCATTTAAAAGTTATGAACAAAAAACTTTTGTTAAATTTCGTTGTTTTCTATGGGCAATTACACCGACAAAGATTCACTAAATCACTTGTTCTCACTTTTTAAACACTATTCAAATATATAATTTAACTTATTTATTAAACAAACACATAATTTTATCAACCTAAGATAGATTATTTTGTTATTAAAAAGAAGTTGACAATCTGCGAACTGAAACGCGAGATTCCAAAATAGCTATAGCTGCCACTGTATTAGTATTTCGTAATAATTCACTTTTCCTTATAAGGTGTGTGCACTGTTCAATGCTTTTCGGATACTTCTTTCGTTTAATATATATATAAATAATGAAATTTTTTAATAAAAAATCGCGCGATTTTTTCATAAAAATCAATACTTTGATAAATAATGAAAATTTTTAATAAAAAATCGCGCGATTTTTTATTAAAAATTTTAGCCTGCGGCACTTTTACCATAAAAATCAATACTTCGATAAATAATGAAAATTTTTAATAAAAAATCGCACTTTATAATAACTGTAAACCATAAATGTAGCGCTGCCATGGCATAGCGAAATTTGCTATTATATTTTGGTTAGAATATCTTATTTAGGTGAAAGTAAAAAAAGAAGAAGAAGTAGAAGTGTATAGTGTAAACCATGATACAATAATTTTTAGAAGGTAGTTTCACTTCTTCTTCTTATCCGCCATGTTAACTATCTGACAGAAAACGTGTTTCGTATTTTTTGTTGTACCAACTTTTAAAAAAAAAAAAAGCTTTTGACGTTGGAAAAATAAAACAAAGAAAAGCCAAACAAGTAGAGAAATTTTCGAATATGTTGTAATAATTTTCTTCATAAAAAATTAACTGCTGCTTTCGTGGATATTGCAACACACGGAATGGGTGTAAGGACACAGCTATAAGAGCCACCGCACACCACAGACTTTGACGGCCGCCTATTTAAATGATAGGGCTCGCTTGAAATATGTACATGAAGATGTATGGAGGTGCGCACATTACACCAGCTTAATCGCTCTGACCAATAAGTTGTGGTGCAATGGAAAGACTAGCGAGCACATTTAAATTGGCGGCCGATAAAGTCCGTGGTGTGCGATGGATCTAATCCATTATAAACAAGAAATATTGCTGTTATATTTTCATTTTTATGATTTTTATTCATGTAATTAGCAGTGGCAAAAATGTATGTATAATATACGTATATTTATATTAAAAATTAAGTGATCAGTTATGAAACATATAAATTTTTACATGTTCTGTTAAAAAATATCTAAAATAACAAGCGATAATCCCCAAGTTCTATATCGTAGCAGTGGCCACATTGCGTGTTTGTCACAGACACGGTTTATGTCAAAAATTTTGAAGTGAAACTACCTTCTAAAAATTATTGTATCATGGTGTAAACTGAGTATAATAGCGCAAATAAAGTGGCCATACCAGCGATTTGAGGTTATAATAATTTTGGCAGGCGCAAAGTTTGTTTACTCTGTTTTATTAACGAAATATATAAAAAAAATTGAATAAATGATTTGGTTTGCATAAAATAATAACCAGAGACGTTTTAATAGTGTTTTAAAAGTGTAAACTGGGTATTTTGTGCATTTTTGACGTGGTAATTGCTCATAGAAAACAACGAAATTTAACAAAAGTTTTTTGCTTATAACTTTTAAATGGTTAATAATATTAACCCTCCCCCTCCAGATTGTTAATAGGGGGGCCAAAACGCGTCGTTTGGTACCCCTCCCGACTTTTCCGGACCTTTTTTAGGGGTTGTTACCCTACACTAGAGAATTACCTAAAATTTATTTACATTTTAATATACATATTAATATACTTTATGTGGATAAATTTTGAGAAAAATCATTTAATAGAAAAAATATATATTTTTTGTTGCCAAAGGGGGCTGGACACCTTTTGCAGAGAACACCTTTCTGCGTATGCGGCTTATGCGTATCAAGAACGATAGAATACAAGATTGCGCCGATCAGAGAGGATTTTTGAGAATAACTTTTGTGTGACGTCACACTGGTGCAATTGCGAGAGAGAAATGCCAAAACGTGAGCAAGAATGGAAGAAGAAGAAAAAATGTTGCAAGGAAAACGTAAATAAGTTGCACAAGTGTGACGTCATGCAAACCACGATTCTGTCAAATTCGTTCAGAGAGGAATAGCGGTCCGAGATCGGCGCAACCTTTGTATTCTCTCAATCGTGCATCAGTATGGTCATTTCTCCCTTCATGAACACCAGTAAAACAAAATTACTCACGTATTTAAGTCTAACTATATAAAGTTATATGTTAAATGAAAGGTATTTTATGCTCTATTTACCTACTATAGTTTGGTGTATCATTATTTACATATATACTTTAGTAAAACGGGTTTTTCCTAGAAAATTAAAGAATTTTTCTATTAAATGAGTTTTCTTAAAATTAGTGCACATAAATTATACAAATGTGTATACTAGAAGGGGTTTTGTTTACCTTTCTAATGGTATCAATTTTTTTAAATTCGGTCGGGAATTTTTCGAAATATAGCCATTTTAAATATTCGAAAATTCCCCCTTCGCCCCTCCATAGCACCGAAAAATAAGATTGCACCAAAAAAAATGTATACATATAAAATGAGGAAAAAAGGCGGATCACGCCCACTTTTTCGTTTTGTTCTAGCTTAACGGGCCGTATTCTGCACTTATGCCGCCAGGGTTAGTAAAATTTTGGAGATTCTTGATCCTTTTGATACTTTGAATGGATAAATAATCATGTAAAAGTCGGAATACGGTTCGGCTATTTGTACAGTGATTTGGGTTCTTGTTGTACACGCTTGAAATATGAACTTTCCCGTAAATTTTGGAGTGAATTCAAAAATACTGTGGCGTAGCCGAAGTTGAACTGGTGAAAGTTTTTTTTGCAATATATACAGTTTTCTTAACGTTTACAAGCGATTTGTTTTTCTACAATTGGGAATTTAAGGTTTTTATATTATCGGTTTAAAATATTTAAAAAATCGAAGAGAAAGGACAAAGGCGCGTATTCATTCCAGCAACTAACGGCCGGTTACTCAATGTCTGGTTAACACTAATAATCCCCCGGTAAACATCGTTACCGGCCTTATCGACTCCCTGTTATATGCATGGAGTTAGAACGTCGATAACAATGTTTAACCGGAGAGTTAGTGTTAACCGGCCCCTTAGGGCCGGTTTCTCCATCTCTGGTTAACACTAATCTCCGGTTAAACATAGTTATCGACGTTACCGACTCCCTGTTGTATGCATGGAGTCGAAGACGTCGATAACAATGTTTAACCGCAGATTAGTGTTAACCAGACAATGAGTAACCGGCCCTTAGTTTACGATATAGCAAAATGAGTGTGAAAATGTATCGATTTTTCTTTACGATACTTTAGAAAAATTACATTTTTATTAAATAATGTCAAGTTTGATCATCCGTTTATGTAATTTTTATTTTCATTGCATGATTATGCAAAAGAATAAGGGCCGTTTGCACCATGTCTAGTTAACGCTAACTGGAGGTACATCCTTCAGTTAAGCACGTTAACTGCTTTATCGATCACATGTTATATGATGGGTGTCGATAACGTCGATAAAGATGTTTAACTGGGAGTTAGAATTAACTAGACATGGTGCAAACGGCCCTTAGGTATCTTTTCTTGTTAATTGTGTGAAATAGCCAGAACAACCGCAGTGATGTGAAGTCGATGTTTATCGAAAGCATGCTGTGAAACATACAAATAGTAGATATCTAAATGTTATGCACAAATTTACTTTAAAGGAACTAGCGTCAAACTGACTTATTATTTGATAATTTATACAAATTATTCCAATTATAAATTTGTGATTTAGCTTTATTCGAATTGAAATACGCATTTAATTTCATCTTCCGAATAAAATGGACCGATCTTTGTAAATTTTAATTGGAGATTATTCAATATTATCAAAATCACCCTCTACCAACTTAATTTTTACATATTTCGTCTGTTTTCCCTTAATTTGATAAAATACTTCTTCCTAGTTACGACTTAGTTGCAACTGCAGCCGAAACTAAATTTTAACTTGGTACTTAGCCAGAAGAGTCGAAACTAAGGCGACTATTGAGGTGTTCACAGTTCGTTCCAAATTGTGTCTGAAAATGTAGACGTCTACATTTTGTGACATCTTTAGCATCAAACTGTGAGCACCCCTTTCTAGCAGTCGTCGCAAAATCGTCACAAAACTTTGCTGGTGTTGCCAGACATTTCTTCTTTGCGTGCTTTTTTATATGTCGCCTTTCGATTTTGTTTCTGAAAAATTGTAA